TGAGCAATATTTTGAGTCACACCATTAGGTAAAAATGATGCAATTGAACTCTTGAGATCATCCCTCAAACCAATTAACCATTTTCTAGGTCAAACATCAGAAATTGCCCTTTCTCAGTCAAAACCCTAATTTTGACCATTTTGCCCTTTTAATGATTTGATCAAATTTCTTGAGGAATTATGGTCCAAACTTGATCAAATGATACATATGAGTTTATTATGTTGATGTGGATAAAAAATTATGAAGTTTGACTGTAAATTGGCCACAGTTTACTTTTTCCCCAATACAATTGATTTTTAGGTCAACTGCTCAATTGACTGAGCAAAAATGTGATCCAAAGCTTGAAACTTGACATGAGTAATCTTGGGGGTCCATAATGATCCATGAAAGTCATATGAGGCATTGAAAGTTCAATTATCCTTGTGCAATCTCAGACCCTATTTTCAGTCATCAGTGCTTAAGGAGGTGTCTTGAGCTGATCAATCCTTGTGCAGTCTTGAACCAAAGGAGATCTTGTGAGAAAATATTTGATAAATGAGAGGGAAAATTTTGGGGTACAACAGCTTCCCCTAATCAATCTTCTTAAACCTGAAGAGTTAGATTGGCGTATCCGCCATTCGTGACTTGAAGGTGGAAGATGATTGGACACTAGAGTGTCCAGGAATTTGCACTCGAAGATGGATTGTGAATGGGCTTATAGATGCCATTTGGAGGAATGGTGGAGATTTTCCGGAGATGGGTTTATAGATGCCATCCAAAGGTGACTGTTGATAGAGATTGTATTAAGTCTAAACTTGATTTCAAACTGGAAAAGAATCAGAATAAATATTTGGAGCGACTTATCTGAACCAGGAGAAGTCTTGTATGTTGTTTGACTGGGAAGAATCAGAATAAAAATCTTGGAGAGATTTATCTGAACCAGAAGTGTTCCTTTGGAAAGTATCAGGATAAACCGTTGAGGGGTTTAAACTGAACCTAAAGAGATCTTGAATGTTCTTTAACTGGAAAGAATCAGAGTAAGTCTTTGTGCGATTTATCTGAACCAGAGAAAGTGTCGGCGGGAAAGAATCAGGATAAATTGTTGAGAGATTTATCTGAACCCGGAGTGTTCCTTTGGAAAGTATCAGGATAAACCATTGAGGGGTTTAAACTGAACTAAAAGAGGTCTTGAATATTCTTTAACTGGAAAGAATCAGAATAAAATCTTTGTGCGATTTATCTGAACCAGACAAAGCGTCTGCGGGAAAGAATCAGAATAAATGGTTGAGAGATTTATCTGAACCGGAAGGGATCTGAAGAAGAATCAGAACAAATCATTGAGAGATTTATCTGAACCAGAGAATACAGCTGCGGGAAAAGAATCAGAATAAATTGTTGAGATATTTAAACTGAACCAGCAGGAGTCTGAAAGAAACATCTGTTGTGTAGATGGTTGTCCAATCCTTTCTTGGGAATTGATCTGTAATTGACTTCGCCTCACTCAGTCGAGGACTTAGTTCACTATAACCAAACTGATTACAGTTTGCACAAGCTACCTGCAAGTGACTAACAACTTCTAAGACTCTCAAGTCAAAGACTTCTTAAGTATTCAGACCTACCTGATCCCTTAAGGAATATCAAACAATAATCAACCAGATTATTACAATGCACAAGCTACGTGCAAGTGACTAACGACTTCTAAAACTCGCAAGATCTAGACTTCTTAAGGCTACAGACCTAACCTTAAGGAATATCAAACAATTGTTTTAATACAAGTTTTGTTTACAAGAGTATTGCTTCTAAAAAGCTGAGTATGTAAACTATTTTATGAATAGTGACTTAAGAATGTGAAAATTATGAACAACGTTTGGGCGTGAATATTCAGTGAATTGAAAGCTATCCCTCTTAGTCTTCAAGCCTTTATATAGCCAATAAAATAATATATTTATTGAGGGATACTCTTGGGATTTCCAAAAACATTGGCAGCTTAAACAGTAACGTGGGGGACAAGATCGTGCGACACATTTGTCCTTTCATGGTAGTGGAATGAAACGTTGATTGTATCATGTACTATTTGTACCACGTTAATGTTATCTTCTTTCCTTCTTCACTTCAGAGGCTTCTACGAGCAGGACTTTAGAAGCGAGAACATAACATCAGGTTATCAGAACTTCAAGTCTTTACAGTCTTCAAAATTGCGTCTTTAGAGTCTTCAGCACTTGGTTATGAGAACTTTTCCTTAAAACCTTGGGTCTTTAGAACTTCAACTCTTTAGAATCTTTAGAACTTGTGTCTTTAGAGTCTTCAGCACTTGGTCTTCAGAACCCTTATCTTTAGAACCTTGGTATTAGAAATACAAGTCTTCAACATTTGGACTTCAGTAGAAACTTTGTCTTCAGATCTTCTAACTTTGCTTCTTTGGAACATGTTTTCTTTAGAAGCTTGAGTCTTTAGCATCTGGACTTTAGTAGAAACTTGAGTCTTCAGATCTTCTGACTGGTGTCTTTAGACAAATATCATAGCTTACACTTCAGAGTCTTTTGGAGTGTCTTTCTATTGTTTAATAGAACTTGTTTAGCGTAGAAGCGAAATCAATTCTCTTCTAATGTCTTGGCCACGCCATTCATCAGAAGCAGAACCTGTTTGTTAAGTACTCAACAATAACAAACATTAGAGTATCAAAATTGTCCATATCATACAAACATACTTATTTGTTATCATAAAAACTCTGAGATAAATATTGCATAACCAAATCTTGTTCTTACATAAACCATGTCCTAGACAGAAAGCAGGAATTGACTATGACGAAGTATTTGCGCCTGTTGCAAGAATGGAGACAATTCGATTACTCATTTCTCAAGCTGCTCAGTTCAAATGGCCAATATTTCAAATGGATGTCAAGACAACATTTTTGAATGGTGTGCTCGAAGAAGAAATCTATGTCGAACAACCACTTGGATATATGAGAACTGGAGAAGAGAAGAAGGTGTTGAAACTGAAGAAATCATTGTATGGGCTGAAGCAAGCACCTAGGGCATGGAACACACGTATTGACACATATTTCAAAGAGAATGGGTTCAAGCAATGTCCTTATGAACCCGCCCTCTATGTGAATAAAAATGGAAGTGATTTATTACTTGTTGCTCTCTATGTTGATGACCTTATCTTTCTAGGCAGTGATGTTCAGATGATCGAAGATTTCAAGAGCACCATGACAAGCGAATTCGAAATGATAGACTTAGGTCTGATGAGATTTTTTCTTGGTCTGGAGGTTCGACAAGAAGAAGCTGGAATTTTCATCTCACAAGAAAAATATGCAAAGGAAATCTTAGAAAAATATAAAATGAAGAATTGCAATCCAACTTCGACGCCAATGGAACCAGGTACAAAACTATCAAAGTTTGATGGAGGAGAACGGGTCGAAGGAAGCAAATATCGAAGCTTGGTAGGTAGCCTTCGATATCTCACATGCACAAGGCCAGACATTTCACTAAGTGTTGGCATAGTAAGTCGATTCATGGAGGAACCAATACACACACATTGGAAGGCGCTGAAACGAATTCTAAGATACATCCAAGGAATAGTATCACTAGGAATGTTTTATTCAAAAACAGAAGACTACAAGTTAGTTGGTTATTCTGACAGTGACTGGTGTGGAGACATAGACGATCGAAAGATCACCTCTGGATATGTGTTTTTCATGGGAAACACAGCATTTACTTGGCTGTCGAAGAAGCAACCTATAGTAACACTTTCGACGTGTGAAGCTGAATATGTGGCAGCATCCTGGTGCGTCTGTCATGCAGTATGGCTCAGAAGGTTGATAAGCAAGATGGAGCTGAAACAGGAAGATCCAACAATAATACAAGTGGACAATAAATCAGCTATCGAATTGGCAAAGAATCCAGTGAATCATGAACGAAGCAAACATATTGATGTTCGATTTCACTTCATTCGTGAACATGTGAAGGAGGGAAGTGTCGAATTAAGACATGTAGCAAGCAGAAACCAAGCCGCGGATATTTTTACAAAACCACTATCAAAAGAGGTCTTCGACAGAGGCAAGAAGATGATAGGAATGCTGGATGGAAGAAACATTTAAGTTTACAGAGGAGTTTTGTTGAATAAACATTAAATGTGTTAGTAATAAAGTTTTACATTAAACATGGTAGTAGGAAGGACAAAAGTTTTAGTAAGTTATTAAGTTATTAGTAACAGTTATGTTTTAGTTTATGTTTTAGAATTGTAAAAGCTATTTGGATCTATAAAAGACCAAAAGTGTATTTTATTTTATAAGAGCAATATAGAAGTATTCATATAGAAGCCTGATTCATTTTATAACCGTTCATGTGATTGTGCTCACCACCGCCTTCTCAATTCAATTATTGGTACATTCATTCATGTCTTCATTCCATTTCAATGCTACTCACTTGCTTCTAAATTCTATCATGTTTAGTAGGTTTTCTTATCTATTTGAACTGATTTCATTTTGTGAATGGTCACCATGTTACCACAGCTTCTTAATGTGGGACATACATGTAGTTACTCTCTCAATTCTCTGTACAATTATGGTCACCAGTCCGATTATCTCCAACTAGGCTCTTCAAGAACAATAAATATGTGCAATTCATAAATAGTGTATGACTGATATTTCTCATAATTGTACAGGTCATATATCAACATTAAGTTGTCTTGTTAATATGAAGAGAACATGTGCCATGTCTGATGCATGTCTGAAAATAAATCAGTTGGCATAGTATTAAATTTAACACGCGCACATCTCAATTGATTTTCAGTGGCTACGGTTTGCACTCTTCTTGAATTTATTGATCTTTGATAGAGGCATCTAAGACAGTTCCATGTGATCTATTGTCTCATGGGCCCATCATTTTAACAATAATTTCAACATACTATTGGAAACTATAAATGCACCATCTTCCTTCACAACATCTCAAACCACTCAAGCAAACAAATTTACATACACTTTTCTTAAATCTGAAATATTCAGCTTGTTTTTCAAAATGGGTTTCCGATTACCTTCTATTAGACGTGCTTCTTTTATAGGTAGCCAAGCATCGTCAAAAGCTTTGAATGTGCCACCAAAAGGTTATTTTGCAGTGTATGTTGGAGAGAAAATGAAGCGCTTTGTTATCCCTATGTCTTATTTGAACCAACCTTCATTTCAAGACTTGTTGGGTGAAGCTGAGGAAGAATTCGAATATGATCATCCGACGGGCGGCCTCACAATTCCTTGTTCCGAAGATGTTTTCTTACATATTACTTCTAGCTTCAATAGACTATAAATCTACAACTGCAAGAGACTGACATTAGATTAGCCGTGACATTTTGTAAAATAGTCACCACTTAGATTTGTATAGATTTTTTCCTCTCCCTACCTTTGGAAAGGGTTAGAATTGTCCATCTGAATGACAGATTCAGGAACAAATTATTTGTTATTATTTATTTCTAATCATAATAAAACATTATATTCAACAACTGAATCGGTTTCTATATGCTTCTTTGTATAAATTCTAAAACAGAAAATATACTGTTTATCAAAATTCAGTCCAATCAATAATATTTTACTAGTTTTGAATGTGAAAATACACCCTGAGAGAAAATTTGAACATATTGAAGGCAGTGGTTATCATTATATCAAGCCAATTATTCTACATCTATTAGCCTAATTAATTATTTAGCCAAACTATAATCATAGATAAGTTACCTTGTATCTATGTTCAACTTTGTTTACACGCCTTATGATTCTATTCTATGAACTGCATCTTCATCTGGGCAGAGCAATGAACTGAAGATAAGTTGCAGGACAGTTAAATGTTTGTTTTGTCTGTTCGGTGAAGTTGTTTGATTACAACAACTCTGATTAAGGGAAGCTAAGCTAGAGCCTAGTACTTGGTTTCAACTGATGGTCCAGCTAAACTTTGATTGAAATCAGAACTAGCAATAGAAGACTTTTCATAATTTGGTCAATAAGTGGTAAGCCTGAACTCTATTATTTGATGGTTTATTTTCAATTTTAGGCTCTAATCAACTGTCTCCGATATATCCTCTATTATATGCTCTGGTCAGACTCTGTTTAAGTCAGGGAATTAGCCCCTGAAACATGTGAAATGCATTTTTTATTGTCCAATAATGTTTCCAAAAAAATATATTTTTAATTTAAGAAAGGATACTGAATGTAAGGAGACTGTGATAATCTTTTGATTAGTATGTAATAGACAATATCCAACACAAGTATTTAAGATGACATAAAATCAACAGATGAATTCATCAGAGTATAATTTGTTTCTGTTTTAGGCTTTAATTACTACGTCTCTAGTATTAATTAATATCAGTTTGATTAGATGAGTTCACAAAAAACAACAGATGAATTCACAAGAATATAATTTGATTAGATTCTCATTTCAGATTTCCACTTAAGAGGAAACATCAAAAATTGATAGGAATTCCTAACATACAAAAATTGTCTCAACTAGTCAATCTACATTGTTCTATGCTAATATTCATATGCATTTTTTGTAAATTCATTATAGGTTGTTCAAGCAAGATGCTGTATGTAAGAAGATATCTTCCTTGCACGGAATTGTAAGACCGCCCATTGGATGACAGTAACCGAATTCCTCTTTAGCTTGGTTAAGCAATTGTTGAAATAAAGGCTCGTTCAAGAATGATAATGGAATCAAGAACCTCCTTGCTTTCTCTCCAACATACACGGCAAGATACCCTTTTGGGACTTCAACTTGTTTGCTAGATGATGATCGTCTAATACCAGGTAAGTGAAAACCCATTCTCGTTTGTTTCTTGACAATAGAATGATCTCAAAGAAGTAGTAGAAGAAAGAAGTGAACTTGAATTGTGATGCTTCAAGGTATGAATGGTGTATGTTGTTTGTAAACCCAATGATGGATATATATAGACTTTGAAAACCAATTATATAGTGAATGAGTTATTGAATGGGTGTTAGTGGGAGCCATGGCTCATTAATGATCACATGGTACTGTCTTGAAGGCTTTCTTAGAGGACCACGAAATGTGAGACTATATACCCTACATTTTGGAAAATTAGTCTATGAAAAAGATACTAGAGATTAGCTTACTTAATATAAATCAGACAAGCTCTAAACACATCAAATATCTTGTTCTTGTTTTTGTAAGACAAGTGATATCTACCAATACATGATATCCAACGGATAAACCATGCAATCTTCTTAGATGCTGCTGCAACTTTGTATGGACAGACTACTGCCACATTGTTGATCTAACCGTAAAATGTCGCTGATATTAATCAATTGGATAAATTTAATTACTGCCAGTCTTGGAAATCACTCATTCAATCTTTGAGAAAGACCTCTAGACAGTTTCATGTGATCTCTTGTCAAAATTAAGCTGTGTTGTCTATGTGAAGAGAACATGTGCCATGTCTAATGCATGTCTGAAAAGAAATGAGTAGGCATTATACAAGCTAGCATTGAGTTTAACGTAAGCCTATCATTCAGAAGATTGGTTTGCACTCTAATAGAACTTATTGATCCTTAACAGGGGCACCTAGACAACACCATGTGATCTCACGCCCCCCATCATTTTAAAAATCATTTATCTTCCAAAGGGATTTCAAGAAACTGTTGGAAACTATAAATATAGTGTCACTAATCACTCAAGCGTCAAACTTAGATACATTTTTCTTATACGTGACAAAATTCAGCCGGTTCTTCAAAAGATTTGAAATGTGTTTCCCTTTACCTTCAACTATTAGAAAAAGGCATCATTTAGCAGCACCCGGAATTCATCAAAAGTTATGAATGTGCCGAAGGGCTATCTTTCACTGTACGTCAGAGAGCAAATGAATCGGTTTGTGATTCCAATGTCATATTTTAACCAGTTTTCATCTAATATCTTTCCTTGTACAAGAAGGTGTTTTCCTGCATATAACTTCTGATTGCATTGAATTTCACATTCATTCACATTCAAGTTGGAAGAGAATGAATTCCACATTCTATATATGCTCGTTATCAGTTTTACATATAACAAAATTCATTCCTGCATTGAAGCATCAGAATTCAAGTTATCACTTTTTCATCTACTACTTGTATGAGACCATCTACTACTTTGAAAAGAGACAATGGAAAAAAAAATGATGCTCACATGTTTCTGGGGCTGAGTTGCAGGATTAGAAAGAGTCTGCACAGAAGTTAAAACCATTGAATAATAGAATTCAGATTTATCACTTCTTAACCCAATTATGGAATGTCTATCCACAATGACAATTTGTTGAAGGATTTTGAGGATATTTCTAAGCAGTTGATTTTTCATTTTAAGGAAAATTTCACTACCGATAATAATTGCTTGGATAATTGTTTAGTTGAGGAAACCATTCCTAGTCTTGTTTATGGACAAGACAATAATATGCTTACTAGCATTTCCAATAAAGACGAGGTGAGGAATGCCATTTTTGCCATGAACACTGATGGAGATCCAAGATCAGATGGGTTTGGTGCTAATGGCTATTCAGTATTTTTGGGACATTGTCGGCAATGACTTGTTGAGGCTTGTGTTCAGTTTTTCCAACTGACTGGATGTCTTCTAACTATAACAGTAACATTGTGGTCCTTATTTCTAAAATTGATGGTGCACATAAAGTGGATCATTATAGACCTATAGTCGTGGTCATTTTAAGTTTAAGGTTATCACCAAAGTGCTAGTTGAAAGACTTGCTACTGTTTTGCTTGATATTATTTCTTCTCAACAAAGAGGTTTTATTTAGGGAAGAAATATCACTGACAGCATTTGTCTTGCTTATGAGGCTGTTAATATGCTTCATCATAGATCTTTTTCATAAAAATTGACATTAGAAAGGCATGTGATACTATTGATTGGAGATTTTTAATTGAAGTTATGCAATCTTTTGGACTTTACTCCAAATTCTGTAATTGGATTGAAGTGATCCTTAAATCTGCCAAATTATCTATTTTTCTATATATGGTAAAGCTGCCTGTTTCTTTTCTTGTAAGAGAGAGGTGAGACAAGGGAATCCCTTACCTCCTCTTTTACTTTTGCCTTGCACAAGAGGTCTGAAGTAGAGCAATTACTAATCTGGCTAGGGTTCTCAAGGCTCATGAGACCATTGCTTATCTTACTGATTCCTCTATCTCGTGTGATCTTAAGATGAGACTTTCTCAGGCAAAGGACAATAGTCTTTGGCGCATTGGCTTTCTTCTATTCTGGTAACCATATTGACTTGAAATTCATGTTTAACTGCTATCTTATTTTTAAGTATGTGGCTGGACACAAAACTGGCAGTGGAGAACTTTTCGTTACTGGGTCAGTGGAGAACTTCTGATTTAGACTTTAATTAACTATGTCTCTAGTACTAATTTGATGGACATTATATATCAATTACTGATGTGGATGTAAATAAACATATAAAATATTTAGTTCACGTCTCTCTAAGACAAGTGATGTCTACCAGTACTTTAAATACAATCAATAAACCATCAATACTTCTTGGAAGCTGCTGCAACTTTCTATGAATGGACTACTGTGTCACATTGTTGATCTAACCTTAAAATCAGACTGCATATTCACAGTATATTCGCCTAGTAAAGAAGAACTGATTCGACTGAAATTTGGAATTTGATAAACACACCCTTTTTGTGGGCAAGTAATTGATATACATCATAAGTCATAGCGGCTAAAAAAATAAATTTCTATGACAAGAGGTCGGAAAAATTCGCAGAAATACTCAAGCTGGATATTGCTTACAGCATGTAGCCTTGTTTCAAAGCATGTTACAGTAACGTGCCTCGATTAGTATTCTTCACAAGGTATATTGTTTTGAAAAATATGAATTATCATTATGCCATTGTTTTTAATAAGATCATTTTTCCTGTGAAATAAGAATTTAATACGGTACAAACAAGTAGCTGCACTCTATCTACGAAAAAAATTGAGATGTTTTAGCTTTTAAGCATGTCTGAAACATAAGAATCATGTCAGTGCAAATGTTAAAAATTTAGTAGGTTTTCTTATCTGTACATACCACTTACATTTTCTGAATGGTCGCCATGTTGGCACAGCCTCTTAATGTTGGTCATACATTCAATCTTTGAGAAAGACCTCTAGACAGTAGCTCCAACTAGGCCCTTCAAGAACAATAAATATATGCAATTCATAAATAGTGTATGACTAATATTTCTCATAATTGTTAGATCATATATCAACATTAAGCCGTGTTGTCAATGTGAAGAGAACATGTGCAATGTCTGATGCATGTCTAAAAATAAATGAGTAAACATTGTACAAGTATTGAGTTTGACATGCGCACATCTCATTTGATTTTCACTAGCTACGGTTTGCACTCTTCTTGAACTTATTTGATAGAGGCACTAAGACAACACCGTGTGATCTATTGTCTAATGGACCCCATCATTTTAACAATAATTTATCAAACAACTGGATTTCAAGTTACTATTGGAAACTATAAATGCACTATTTTCCTTCGCAACATCACAAACCACTCAAGCAAACAAATTTAGATACATTTTTCTTAAATCTGAGAAATTCAGCTTGTTTTTCAAATCATTTAAACATGGGTTTCCGTTTACCAGCTATTAGACGTGCTTCTTTTACAGGTAGCCAAGCATCGTCAAAAGCTTTGAATGTGCCAAAAGGTTATCTTGTGGTAGTGACAGGTAGTCACGACCGTGTATGAAAGGCAAAGCGGAGTTATGATACAGTTTGCTAAAACTTTCTCACTGAAAAACAGTGGGTCAACTGGGTAAAACACGCTGACAAGTTGTCTCTCAGTAGGCTTTGGGCATCAGACAATATATGTCATGAACATGTCCTTATAATTGAAGGTAATCCTCACCCTACAAGTCGATTTTGTAGGATTGAGTTAGACCCAACCATATTTTTAACATGGTATGATGAGCCTCGTTCAAGATCCGGTGGGCCATCTAATATGGTTTCCGCTATTGGTCCACAAGTCATTTATTTCCATGCTTCAGTTGTCTATTTCTGAGCATGACGGAGATTGTTAAGAGTCTCACATCAGACAATATATGGTCTGAACAATGTCCTTATAAGTGGAGGCAATCCTCACCCTACAAGCCAATTTTGTAAGGATGAGTTAGCCCAAATTCTAATAATCATAATCAATTTGATTTTTCTCATTACCATGGTAAGAATGTAAATTGTAGGGTGATTGGATGCACCAGAATCAAGAAACCATAGGCAAGAAATATTAGAAGACTTACCCTGAATTCCCAAGGCTAAAAGAGCATAAAGTACCATCTATTTGATTATTTCAGGATGGAGAGCACCGCCATTAGATGCACTGGTGATGGAAGGATCAACTGCAGAGCTTGTAGTGGCATGAAATGCTTACACCAGTTGTTGTGTTGATTGTGGAGGATGGTAGGGAAGTCAGAGATAATATGGCCCAACTGCTTGCAATAATTACAAAATTTTAGACTACAACTATGAGTAAAATGTCCAAATTATTTGCAAAAGAAACATTGAACCAGTCGAAAATCACGACATTTACCTCTACTCTGAGCAGCATATGCAACCATAGCAGGCTCAGAATTGACAGCATCATGAGACATGGTTCCTTAAGTAGCAATGTGTTGTTCCTCTTTGAGAAGTTCACCAGCACGTGTATCTAAAGAAAGAACATGGTTCCTATTCAACAAAGCACCTCTGACGACCTCAAATTCTGGACGAAGCTTCATGAGAAATTGATCTCGCTTACTAGTATTGTAGACCTCTTGGATATCTGCAAGAGAACTCTTGGGAACATCAACATGTATAATCACAGGGTGTTCTGTCCATAAATTCAAAAAATCATAATAGTATTCTTGAACATACATATGACCTTGTTTGTAATAGGATATCTCTAGTTTCAACTGAAAACGTTTGGCCGTATTCTCTAGGTTATAAATACATTTTAAGTAGTTCCACATTTCTTGAGTAGTGGAAAAAGATCGCAAACTAGTAATCATGTAAGGATAAATAGTATTGAGAATCCAAGTGATAATTTGAGCATATTTTATTTCCCATGCATCTAACTCAGTTGTCTATAACAATGTCATAGAGACATCATCCAAGTGACTCCATAACCCTTTCTCTTTGACATACATGTTAAACTGAAACTCCCAAGCAGAATAATTTTTACCGGTAAAACGGGCACATAAATTTTCTCTTTCTTTTTCCGAAGCCTTGAACGCAACGTTGCAAATGAAGAGAAAAAGAAATTGAAGACTTGAGACACCTAACACTAAAAAAAAGTGGAAAAATTAAACCAAATACCTGAAAAAAATGAAGCAGAGTGCGTAAACAACAAATTGGTGATTTCTTTCTTTCTTTTTTCAATCGTACAAGAACGAGAACAATTACTTGATTTACAAACTTGGTGACTTGAAAAAAATTGATGACTGACTCGAAGCACAATGCGTAATAATAAATTGGTAACTTGAAAAAAATTGAGTATCTATTTGCTAACCACAACAATTAAGACCAACGAATCACACAATTGACTCAAAAATTACCAAGAAACACCGAGTAACGATCACGAACAACCAAGAAGATAACAAGAATCACGATCTCAACCCCTAAAAATTGAGAACCACAGCCAAAACAAGAAACAATGGTGAACCGTGACAGCTACAAACGAGGTTTCATAAAAAAATCACAAAACAAATAAGGACCAAAAATGACAGAAATGATTTCAAGAGCGATCCAGTGAGGTGTCACTGAACAAAGCCAAAATGAACGATGTCACATGTTTGATCGAACCTTATAATTTCATGTCATGAATTATGGGTACTTGTCTATCTTTATTGTATTTCTTCTATATATAATAATCTGAGCATTTATAATTATTGATTACGGATATTCTATTTCTTACTTCTAGTCTATTTTAGGAATGGAAATATATACTATTAAGAAAAACCAAATTATTCCCTTATTAATAAAAACCACTTAGGAGACAGTGAATGATGAGCCTCAAGTGGTGAATAAAAAACCTACAAGGACCCAAAATTCTACCTCAAAAATTCCATATTTTCAAGCTTATCTCGATAATGCTCTCTTAGATGATGGTGATTTAGTTCATCACTTGGCACTCATTGCTGACGTTGAACATATTAGTCTCGATGAAGCTATCACTAGCATAGTATGGATATCAGCTATGGAAGAAGTATTGAG